TTTCAGAAATGGTTTGTAGAAAAATGCAGTATATTTGATCCAACTTCAGTCCATTGGGCACAGAGAAATTCAGGACTAGAAAGTTAAGATAGTTTCTTCCATGCTACAATCTGCAACTTTAAAATACCATATTATAAACACAGATTATTATTATTCGATTATGCATGCTGGTGTATTTCAAGGCAAGGTAAGGCAACAAAATATTAACACTCTTCTATTCCCCCTCCCCCCACATCTAACTGGCTTCACGCCCAAGAAAGGACTAGAACACAGTCTCCGAGTTTCTAAGCAAGCATCTTAACCACTACATCAAACTGCCTCTCAGTTTCTCAAATGAAACGTTATAGACACCAAGAGACAAGGCTGATTCGAAGCCACAAAAAAAAAAAAAAGAGTTGAGTGATAATTAGGCTTATTATCTGCTTTAAAAATGGTGTGAAATCTAGATGATGCAACTGCACCTTGTGAACTCAGCTCTATTGCTGTCCTTCTGCAGCAGCTGGCAGAGAGGGAATCTAAGTTGGCTTCCGCATCCTTGTTATGGATAATGATTAATGCATTTGCTCAATTGTTTAGATAATAAAGGTCACGGGCTTCATTACAGACCTAATTATATTGTAGCGCCTGGATGAATCCTGCCTACCATCGCTTGATTATATTTGTCTATAAATTAAACTTTATTATATTTATTAATCATGAGCCTGGGTTATCAAATCAGCATTTGCAGGAGGTGGAGGGGACAGAATGATGAAAACAGCATTGTAACACAAGCCCTGCTTTTTCTGCCTGCGCAATAGTGGCAAATATCTGCTTTTTCGACATGGGTCATAAGCTGGCATGGTCCCTAAACGGGGAGGAGCCGGCAGCGAAACACTGCTTTTGTCATTCATCATTAGCATTTGGCAAGCCTCAAACAAACCAGCATGCTGCAACAATAATACTGGCTTACCGTATAAATTGTTATAAGGAACCAACGTGTATAGATGTTGATTTATTCGTTTAGTACTAGATTTTAGTCCAGCTTTATTACGGAGTTACTTTATTAATAACTCAAGGCTGCAAACAGTCCTAATGCTTCTTTCCCCTATTTCTCCCACAACAATGACCTTGTGTGGTGAACTAGTCTACGAGAAAATGAGTGGCCCAAAGTCACCCATCCCGTTCTTTATGCCTAAGGTGGGACTGGAACTCACAGTCTCCTGGTTTCTAGGTCATCAGCTGTAATTATTTACATCTAATTATGATATATTATATCTATTTGTTCTTCTGACGTCCTTATTAAAGTATTCTGTAAATCTAATGGGAATTGCAAACTTCTGCAGGAACACAGAACTCTCAGCAACAGTAACTGAGCCGTACGCTATGCTTAAGGGGATTTTCTGGATAATTAAAAGGTTTAAATGTCAAAGTATCTTAACGGTTCAAAATTTGAATCTGTCACGTTTCCATGCACACCACTAGGGGGCATGTTGAGAATACAAATAGATTGATTCCCCAAGGCAACAGGGACAGTTTTCCCTTTAAAGGAAGTTAAATAATAAAATTAAAGGAGGGCTTTAATTTTCCATCTGCTTCATGAAAAATTTGGATTTATAGATTGACTGATTATGAATGTGCTGATTTTACTACATCAACATTAAGTGCTCTGGGTTCATAGTAGTCGATTAAGACTACATAATTAAATGTTATAGGTTAACATTTGAATTTTGCTTCAGAACTAGGAATACAAAACCCTTCAGCTCTCATTTCAATTTTTTAGTCCCTGTGGAGAAAGATTCACTCCATCTATGGCTTCTCCATTAAATCAGTAACAACGGTATTAAACACAAAACACTGTCATCTAAAAAGCTTTATTCTATTGTTCTATTATTGATTTAGCGGCTAAACACTGAATTTTCCGAAATCCCATACTTTGCATCCTTTTACCTGGATGTTGGAAAATTATATCCTTCTGCAGGTATTCTGACCTAGGAGGTTCTAATGCAAAGTGCAACTTCTACCATTTTGCTATGTCAAATAAATATTCCATCTGATTCAGTGGTGGGTTCTGGCCAGTACAGCCCTATACGGGCGTATCGGTAGTAGCCGGGAGCAGCAGCCACCATACTGGTATGGTGGCTCATTTGGACCACCCATCCACCCACATTCCATACCTGTTTTTAAGGTAACGGGCCAATTGCGCACGTGCGTACAGCCTGTGGTGCCTACACAACCTCCGGCAAGCAGCTGGGTGTCACAGGGGTGGTGGAGTGCGCATGCACACATAGGATGCCCGGCCCGGTGCGCAGCATACTGGTAGTAACAGGGAGAGGAACACACCACTGATCTGATTGATATATCTCTATCAGTCTGCTCAAGTTTATTCCAAAGAACAGGCATCGGAATCAGAGATAAATGTATATAAAACAGGTTCAGTACCAAAAAGTTACCAATTAACTTTTCAATATTATTCTGTGGTCTGATCTTTCATACAATGAGACCCCAACTATGGAAATAAAATCTGTATTACTGTCTTTGGTTTATCAGTTCAGAGTCAATAGTGGGGGTAGTTAGAGTTAGAAATTGACATGAAAGCCAGCTGGGTGATTTGGGGCTAGTTATATTCTCTCAGCTCAACGCACCTCAATAGATTGTCGTTGTGGGAAAAATAGGAGAAGGATGTTTACCACTTTGAGTGATTTATAAAAAGTAATAAAAGTGGGATAAAAATAAATCAGCAAATCAGATGTGACAAGTCAAAGCTAGATAATTTTTCACGTATCAACATCAAACATTTTAGAATAAACTTGCAGAGTCTTGACACAGTTATAGGTAACTGCTCTAAATAACCAAGATAGGATGATATCTAAAATGTGGCACCACACAGTCAGTGAAGTAGCTACAAACAGGAGGAAGAAAAGAGTTTATATAATTCTCTTCCAGTACACTTTACTGCATCATGTAATGGAGCTGTTAAATTCAGTAGAGAACTTTATGAAATCTGTATTTTTATTATAATCATGGAAAGAGAGAGAGAGAGAGAGAGAGAGAGAGAGAGAGAGAACAAAAGAAAGAAAGGAAGAAAGGAAAAATGCACATTTGTATGGAAACTTTTAAAAGTTTTCTGAAACATAACTGTCAGTGTATGTTGCAAGTTAAGAATGGTAGTTAAGAAACAGGAAGCAAAATAAAAAAGAAGAGTTAAGTTAAAAGCCACAAGTTGTTAACCCAGTTTCCTTTTCCTGTTCTTCCACACACTTCTCGTATTTAGCATAGTTCTACTCTCCGGTTTCTACTTTCAAACTTTACAAGAACATAGAAAAGGAAAGCGCTTGTAGGTGGTAATTGGAGGACAAGGGCAAAATGCTTTTAACAGGGTACTGAAGCCTTTTCCAGTAAAAAAAATCTTGGGCAACCACAGGCTCTGAACTTTAATTAGGCAAAATTCAAGCCATTCTGTAAAGTCACAAGGAACAGAGATGTGCATTTTAAAAAATCAAAATGAATGCTGAAATGATACATACAAGACTAGGTATTAAAATATATAATGGCATAGTTAAGGTTGCAAGAAGGACAACTAAAATGATAAGAGGTGGTGAAGCAGTTTCCCTATGAGGAAAGGCTGCAATATTTGGGTCTTTTTAGTCTAAAAAAAGAAGAAGAAGAGACACCACTGAGGTATATAAAGGCAGTGTGGATAAAGTGAACAAGGAGAAGCTATTTTCTCCTTCTCCAAATGTTAGACCTAGAGGTCACCAAATGAAATTGAATCCTGGAAGCATCAGGACAGGCCAAAGAAAATACTTTTTACACCACATGTATTTTAACTTTGGAATTCACTACCATGAGATTTGCTTGGCTGTTCAAGAAAGGGTTGGATCAGTTCATGGAAATCATGGGAATCCATGACTATCAGCCTTGATGGCAGTGTGACTGTCTCTGAAGGCCACCTGCTGAGAGACTAAGGGGTTCCCCGGCAGTTGGGTGGCTTCTGTGAGAAGAGACTGCTGGATTAGATGGCCAGGAATCCAATCCAACAGGACACATTGCTTATGTTCTTAGGATGCATCCCAAAACAGTAACCACAGCACATTTCTTACTAATACAAAATGGCAATAGCAAAAGCCCTTAGACTTATATACTGCTTCATAGTGCTTTGTAACCCTCTCTAAGAGGTTTTACAGAGTCAGCATATTTCTCCCAACTATCTGGATCCTTATTTTATCGACCTCAGAAAGATGGAAGGCTGAGAACCTTGAGCCGGTGAGAATTGAACTGCTGGCAGTCGGCAGAATTAGCCTGCAATACTGCATTCTAACCACCGCCCCAACACGTCTCTTAAAATGTTGAACATTTTAATGATTATGAGTTACTTGACGCTTTTATAGATTAGGGCTGCTGAGAAGAAATAGAAAAATGTAAGGAAAAAACAAACCATTTTCAAAAATCATAATAATTGCATTATATCCCGGATGATACTTTATAAATTGGGGACAGAAAATAATGGTATCCTTACTTCTAACCAAAGCATATTCAAATCATTTACCAACATATATTGCCATTGAAACACAATAGATGCCATAGATGCTGCATTGATATTCACATATACATTATGCATTTATAAGCTTAATAGGTTTGGGACTGGTTGCCAGATCAGTTACCAGTTTACTACCATCAACATAGACATGTAATTTACACTAAATGTTTTCTGTCAAGAATCCAGCAATCTTGGTCTTGATCCTGCCCCAAGCTTCTAACCTTATGCAACAAAGCCGTCCTTGAAAAAGTCCATAAGCAACCTTTCTGCTGGAACTGTTGTTATTCGTGTGTATAGGGAAGCAAAATAAATTGGTGCTACTTTCGTTTTTTTAACGTTCTATCCAGGGGGATTTATTGCTGCATAAATAAAGGAAAGCATTTTACCAAAAGTAAAATATAGATAAGCACAAGACAGCTGAGCCACAGGACAACCATATAAAACATTACTGATTGTTTTAAAAAGTGTTTACTTTCCTTCTTACCTCTTCCTTCTTTTCATCAGCACTCATAGCTAAGTTGAGACTCAGCTGAGAATGGCTGCTGATGCCACTGTCTTCATTTGTATCGTCATAGTAGACGGCTTGCACAGAATCCTGGAAGCAAACAGGACTCTTCCCCAACTTGGCAGACGACCCCTCCCCTCTTCCCTCACTTTCCACTGAGCTGAGCGACAGGGTACTGTACCGGTCTGGACAATGGACATCCATGTTGCACTTGATGCTTTCGGCATTAAGACTCTGAGGCTTGGGGACGGTTGGTCTAGCAGGATGGTCGGGGGGCTCAGTGCTATATGTAAATGAGCTGGGGTTTTTTGACCCATCAAAATCTTCATGGAAAACTTCATCAGGAATTGATCCTGGGGTTTGAAGTGGAGGTGGAGAACAAACCAAGTCTGAAAGTTCACAGGAAGACATCCTATGGCCTGTAGCATCAACACTTAATGCAAATGGTGATCCAGTGGAGTCATCCTCAGAGCAGTGGATGGTGTACCTGGAAGGAGCTGAAGCTGGGTGACGCCGGGATGGCAGGCACTTCCGCCTCTCATTCTCAGTGCTGCTGGAAACCCTGCGGGAATAGTCCTCATGGAGCCTGCTGTTTGGTCTTGTCTTTTGGTTCTGCTCACCGGGGGAAGAAATATCAGTCCTAGGACAGTCCTTCTTCAAAGCACCATCAGTTACGTTGCTGACAAGTTTCAAAACTCTGTCAAAATCCTTCGCTCTAATTGGGCTCTTCCAACGTTTTGATTTCCGCTCCGAGTTCCTGTTGGTTTTGTCTGAGTCAGTTGACGACATACTCGTGGTTCTTGGTGGCAAAGGCTTTTCGTTTACAGCTTTGAGGTCGGTGAGGTTTGAGGTCGACTTCCTTTTGAACGAGCTCTTTTTGAGAAAATTCAGGTTATCGCTGCTTTTGCTCCTCCTGTAGATCACTTTGGGACATTCTGGATCTTTCCCTACAATTTCACAAATCTGGGATTCCTGCAATGCAGGGGATCCTATTTTGGTATTGCTCTGTGGGTCCTGGGTTTGATCACCATCTAATAAATTTATACGGCCAGTTGCATAAGCACGCCTGATACTGCGTGATCGATGTGTGTTCCTCAGGAAGGAATCTTCCTCTCCATCAGAATTATCAGAAACCACTGTGTTGTCTGTGGCACTGTCATTTAAAGGCCCTGAATAAGAATATCTGTTTGTCTGAACTCTCACAGTTGTATTATTTGGAATATACTTCTTGGTTTTGTTCTCTGACAGGCTATCCTTTAAGCTATCTGGATCTTCTTTGGCTGGGATTCCTTGGAGAACTGATGATTTTAACTTCTTGAAAGATCCCATTTTTCTAAGGGAAGACAAAGCATTCCATGTTGACGAGTTCCCCATAAGTATAACTGAACGAGGCCGCTCTACGTTGGAGCTGGACCTCTTGCGGGGAGTGGGGAAAAAATGCATTATTTTGGAAGGACTGGTTTTATCGTCCTGATTGTTATTTCCGTTTTTGTTATTTGTGCTGATCCCCCCATGATGACATAAAGAGGTAGTACTGCTCCCTGATTCTTTATTATCCATTACTATACAGATAACAGAGGTGGCATTTCCCAAGCCATTCTGCCAAGCGGTCATGTTTTCAGTTTTTGTACGAGAACAGGAGTCATGGCTCATGACTGTTTGATCTGCATCTTCTCCATGCTGAAGCCTTTGTTCAACTGTGCATCTTTCAAGCTCCTTGTTCATACATATTTTCGGTGAATCGGGCTCTCCAGTAGTCTGCACTGCCTGCACCAAGAAAACAAAGTCAGCATTTAGGATTTTTCTCAAGTCAGAAGGAGAGAGAGATTCTCTGCATGATAGAAAAGGTTTGAAGGGCTCTATAGTATAGCTGAGAAAAATCTTTAAATGATACTACAGTAATCTTGTTATTAAATGATTATCAGATGTTACTTACACTGCTGACTTAGATGCTGTTAACAGGCCTTTATTTCTAACATTAATCCTTTCAGCCATAGAAAGTCAATCTACCAACCATATAACTTTATCAGAATCTATTTTAAGCTTCCATTGGTTCAGATATGTTACTGATTGAAACATCATAATAAGCACGTCATACAGTTTGAATTTGAGGCATCACACTAAGTAAGCCATACAGTTTGGACACCTTGTAAATAGCTGGAGTCACAAATCAGTCCTCCAAGCAATGTAATTTTCAACTGATTTTGTGTGACTAGGAATGGACATTTTAAGACTGGGGATATGAATGAAGCTTTTGGTAAGTAAGCTGGTCTCATAAGCTCTTACCCCCAATCCTAGAAAACTACCTGAAATCACATTGTGGAAATCTGGCCATTTTAATAACTCACAACTGATTAAATTCACACATATTAAGCTATAGCCTGTGGTTTACAAATCATTTTGATTCATTATTGAATCATGCTAACCACAAACCAAACCGTCGTGGCTTAACACAATTATGAACTCCACCTAAAAGAATAGAATCATAGAAATGGAAAGGATCATCTAAACCAGGGTGGTCAAACTCGATTTCATTGACGGCCACATCGGATTGTGTTTGACCTAGGGGGAAGGGGGTGTGGGCAGAGTGGGCATAGCCAGCTTGACATCACTCATGTCGGGGTTTCCTATGGTGGTTCGAGTGCTCTGCCAGCAAAAACAGGCTTCTGAGCTCCGTTTTCTGCTGTAACAGCCTCCCGCAACCCTCTGCCAGTGAAAATAGAGCTTGCGAGGGCTGCGTGAGGCCCCCCTGAACTGTGTTTTTGCTGGCAGAGGCACCATGGGGCGGTCCTTTGCTGTTTCCATGGTGGCCCTGCAGGCCAGAGCTAAACACCCCATGGGCCAGAAAAGGAGTTTGACACCCCTGGTCTAAACCATTGAGTTGAATTCCATACTGAGGGCAGAAATCGAAATTAAAGCACCCCAGTAGATGGCTGTCTAGCATCTGCATGAAGATATCTCTCATGAAAGACAAATTGGGAAGTTGCCACTCTGGATAAATAATTCCACTGTCAAACCCCATACTATTCAATGAGAATCTGCCTTCTTGCGACTTAAATCCATTATTCTCTGCCCTGCATTCTGGAACGAGACAGAATGTATTAATCTTCTGTGTGACAATCTTGACCCACAATCTTCAATCAGGTGTTTGAAGAATATTCCCTTCAATTGCCATTTCTGAAGGCTAAACATAACCAGCTCTTGATAGAACTCAGTTTCTAGACCCCTTTATGTTCATTGCCTGTCCCAATTTATCCGAACTATTTTCTAAGTGAGACATAATATGGAACTAGAGCTCGCAGAGGATGTCAGGTCTGACCATGGCAGAATAAAATGGAACAATTATTTCTCGTGCTTTGAAAATAGTTCTTCGGATGCAATCTACATTTTGATTTGCCTTTTTGACAATGCTGCCTCAGTTTGTAATCCACCAATATTTCAAAAACATCATACCATTAACAGTTCTGCAACTGAGAACTTTTACTTTTGTTTCCTTGAATGAAACATCTTTTGCTTTTCTCTGAGCCCATTTGTCCAACCTATGAAGATCATTTTGAATTTCATATTTCCTCTAAATTATTAACTCTCCCTTTTAGCATTATGTCATCTGAACATTTGACAAGCATTTCCTCAACCTCTTCAAGTAATGAAAGAAAATACTGAAAAGTATAGATACTGACATTAATAGTGAATAATAACATCCCTGTGAAGAAAATACATGTTCTCAAACTATTAGGGTCACTCACTAGTTTACCTCGGTGAAAAGCCGATAAGCATGCGAGTAAATATAATGTTTCCAAAAAAAAAATTATTAGAGATATCTCCAAACAATTGGTACAAGTTGACAGCTATAATTCTGTAACCAATTGTTTTATTACGGACATTGCAGCAACACAGAATTTTGCCACTGCATGTGTAGTAGACGGGTTTGAGGAGGAGAAACCTACATAAAAATTGTCTGCCCTCTCTGGCAATTTCTCTAGTAAGGGGAGAATATATGCTGACCTATGAATTCTGTATAACTCACAGTACTGCAAAAGATTAAAACAAGCTAAAAAAGAGAACAGGTTTGGGGAGGTAGTGGCCTTTCTGTAACTACACTAGCCACCTCCAGCCAACAGCTTCTCTTTCAGGGTATTTAAAGATAATGACCCACAGCCTGAATGACACCCGGAAGCAGATCAGCGGCTAGGATAGCTCATGTAACAGTGGTGTTACATGTGCCACCCGAGAAGCCTTCAAAATTGTTTGCACTGCTCCATTCTGGACTCACTGTCCCGTCCAAATGCTCTAAGCCCCTTGATCCCTGATGCCTAAAGAAGATATACAACTATCAAACCAGAAAAGAGAGATGGATTTCCCGCTCCCTCCCCCTTTTTTGGCTGGACATACAAAACAGATCTGTTAAAGTTTTGAAGGGTTTTTTGAAAAGTGACAAAAACGGATGAATTTCTTTTACAAGATGTACAAAAGAGCCCTGCTAACGTTTGGAAAGATTGGGTGGGTGGGTGGGTGGGTGAGGGATTAAAAAAGATGACAAGAAATCAAGATGCAAGATTCTACCTGAAGAGGTGAAGAATTGTGCTTTTTAAAAGTTTAAGAAAGGAATACAAGGTTGGCTTGGTCAATCAAGAGATTAAGATAGTTATACCTACAACTCTTACTGGACATTTGCTAATAAGGAATTCATGACAACGATGGATGTTCTTTTTGGCTAAGATGAGATATGAAGTGAAAAGTATATATAATTTAATTTAAGAGATAGCAATAGATTTTCTTTAATTGTGTGTACTCGTTGGGACTAGAGATAAAGTTTCTTCTACTTTCTTTTTCATGCTATATTCTTCCTTTTCCTTTTATGTTTTTGTAGTTTGTATAGTTTTTACTCTTTTTAACTGTAATCTCTAATTTAAATTACTTGGGAAAAACATGTTATGGTTATGTTTCCTAAACACAAGATATATGAAATCTATAGCATTCGCACACGTTATTAAGAAGTTTAACAGATAAAAAAATGTCACAAAGTTAGTCCTCCAAGATTAGTTCTTAACAACGTGCTATTTTTTTATAATTATCACATCTAAACGCAAGATGTATGAAGTCTATAGCATTCCCACACTTTATTAAGAAGTTTAACAGATAAAAAATGTCACGAAGTTAGTCCTCCAAGATTAGTTCTTAACAATGTGCTATTTTTTTTTATAATTATCTCATTATTTTGAAAGAGATTACAAATCATTTTTTTCATGATCTGTTTTAGAATCTTTCCAGGAATCCAGGTCAGATTCACTAATCTATAGTTTCCTGAATCTTTGTTTACCTCTTTTGTAGAGAGGGACAACATCTGTCCTCCAGTCATCTGATATGCACAGGTTCTCTTAAGATTTCTTAAAGATAATATTCCTTTGGAATTTGGCCAACTCGTCTGCCAGTTCATCCATTAACCTAGGATGCAATTCATTTGCTCCGAAAGATCTGAACTCATTCAAAATGATATTTCCTGCTTGCATTTGTATCAGTCTCGTGCTTCAATCCCACCTCTTTACCTGCTCTTTAGAATTCCCTCACAAAAGCAGAAACCAAAATACAAGTCATGCAAATTTTTATCAAGGTCCTTCTAAAACTAATCACCTAGTCCTACCTAGAGTATCTGCTAATACTCAGTGGAAGCCATTCTTGTAAACACTTCCTCCGTTAATTTAGAAAAGAAAAGCTCTCTTAGCAACCCATTAAAGTGGGGAAATATCTGCAGGACCAGAAACTACTTTATTCACCTTTAAGCCTTCACTTTTAGGACATCCTTGAGATTTGTGAAAAGCTATACATTCTACTGTCAAAATAACAAATGGAATCAATGCAGTGAAATCTAGAATTCAAATCAACATTGAAGAGGAAAAGGGGAGAAAGAGACATCTAGCACCTATCCACATAAAAAAAGCAATATATTATTAACATCCCATGTGGAATATTTGCTAATTCAAGCAACTATTAAGTGCCTCAATATTCTTTTAATTTCTAGTTAAATACAAAAACATGTTGTCATAAGCAACCTTTTATACACACACCATAAACAATCTTGGGAATGTTTTGTTTCAATTAACTTCATCCTAAACTAGTACCATTTCCCTTATATTCCCTATTTTCCTCCTTTTAAAATTGACATTACACAGCAGCAGACAAGACCTTACTATGTTTCCAAGAGTTATTCAACATCCTTTAATTCTGTTTTCCCTTGCTGCCCTATTCAAGTCTTTTCCAGCTTCACTCTCCCTTCTGCAATACACATTTCTTACACCCACCAAGACACAGTTAAATCTAAACATTTACAAGGGGCTGCTTTAAATGCTGTGGGAACTGTTTTTCAGATAATTTTTAGGAGCTTCGGATTCAAATACTCTTTCATCAGCATTTCTCTCAATATACTTTTAAAATGTTTAGTTTTAAATTTTAGAAAGCGGGGGAGAAAACATGACAACTGTTTTAAGAATCACAATCCTAAACTTATGAAATAAGTCCGAGAGAAATAATGTTTAGTTCTGAACTTCTCAGTGGGCACATGCAAGATCAAAACAATTAAAGGCAAGGCTAGTTGTTGGATAGTGTTGAAATAGATCCCCCCCCCCACACACACAGACACAATTTGTGTATCTTTCAAGTATACTGGATTACCTCAATCGTCTGGGGATGACTAGGGCCATGTAGTTCAAAACATCTAGGGCACCGGGTTGAAGAAAGTTACAGCAGGACAAGACATCATAATGGAGGGCAGTCGCCCCACTTACACATGCTTACTTCTAAAATAACAAATCTATTTACTACTAGAAGCAGAAGGCGTGACCGTACAGGGGAAAGCAACGTTGCAGGGAACAATGGCCCCCTCAAAAGTGTTACTTCAAGGCATCACTTTCTCACTGGGCAGCCAAGGATGACGTCTTGCCCTTCTCTCTTATTACTTTCCAACTTTCTTTCTTTCGCTTCCAACTTTTCTACAACTCGCCAACCCGGCACCTGCTGGGCTTCCCAGGTTCTCCTTTCAGGAATCCCAGGAAATAAGTATTTTTTTTTTTAAAAAAAAAGGGGGGGGGTTAACGCTTAAGTGCAAAACAAAGCGCAAAAGTGAACCAGCAACCACCTCGGTGCGCTCAAGCGACAAAGCAAGCAAAGGGCAGCCTAAGCACGAGCGCTCCTCCCTCCCTCCCTCCAATGGTGGCACCAGTTACCTGGGAAAAGGGAGCCGAAGGTCTGCAGGCGCTGAGCACCAAATCCGCATCGGGCTGGGAAAGTAATCGGCCGGAGGTGGGCCGGGGGGTGGTGGTGTGTCCCCTAAATGCTTCTACATGGACGCCGGGGGGAAGAAGGGGAGCAGCAGCAGCAGCAGCCTTCTCTTGCCTTCCTCTCTGGCTGCTGCTGCTGCTGCTGCGTCTTTTCCCCTCCCCTGGGTAGCGGAGGCTAATCTGCTTCCACGCATCACTATGGCAGCAACCGGAACAGAGGGTGGAGAAGCCCTTCAGGCACACTGGAGCGGAGAGAGAGGAGGGTGGAAGGCGTGCGGGGCGCTTGGGGGGGGGGGGGGGG